CAGGATGGAGGATCCTGGGGTTAGGGGATCCCTGGGAGTGGGGGGATCCTGGGTCCCAGGGTGCCGGGGGACTCCCAGGGTGGTGGGCCCAGGCAGGCGGGCTCACGGGGCTGCTCTCCCCAGACGTGAGCGAGGGCCCGGTGGGCGGCGCCCTGCTGGACTCCCTGCGGAGCTGCACCGAGGCCTTCTTCCTGGGCCTGCAGGTCAGGTGCCTGCCCGCAGTGGCCGCTGCATCCATCCGCTGCTCCTCCCGCCCCACTCAGGACTCTGACAGGCTGCAGCTGCACACAGGTGAGTGGGTGAGGCCGGGCCCAGGCTCCCGTGCTGAGCAGAGGCCCCTCCTGAAGGCAGAGGGCGGGAGGAGCCCAGAGGAGGAAGGAGTCTCTCCCCTGCCCTCTTTTTTGGTGGGAAACATCTATTTCCCAGCCTTTTGTAAAGGAAGACTGAGCCAAGTGCCCCTTTCCCACCCGAGGTGTTTGCAGACTTGGTCCCACACAGCCCCGCGTCTGCAGGGAAACGCGGGCACCCCGAGCAGTCGAAGCAGGTCCGGTTCAGGCCACCTGAGGCGTCTCTGCAGCCTCTCGTCTTTGCTAAGCACTTTGTGTCTAATGACCTCCCTCTCTTTCGGGTACTGACCTTTCTGCAGAGGAGACACAGTTAAGGGGGGACTTGCACCCCGCCCTGCCCCACAGCTCTGTGCCCCCCACACTGATGACCCAGCTCCTTGAGGTCTCGTCCATCCGGCCCTCCTGCCCCCAAACCTTTCCAGTGTTCTTCCTGCTCCTGCCTTGGACCAAGCTGCCCACGAGCCCTCAGCCCAGCGCTTCTCCGCTCCTCCCACAGTCCCTCCCCTGGCCCTGCTAGCTCCGGGAAGCCGCCTGCTCAGCCTGGCCCCTCCTGCCTCCCTCCCTCTTACAAGGGCTCCCGCGGTTGGGTCCACCTGGGGGCTCCAAAGCCACCTTCCCCTTTGAAGGTGTTTGATTTCATCACCTCTGCAAAGTCCCCTGTGCCACGTGGGGAGCACACTCACAGGCCCCAGGGACGAGGACGCGGGAGTCTCTGGGCCACCCACCCTGGTGACAATGGCACTGTCCCTCTGAACACCAGTCTTGTTGGCCTGTGGCCTTCCAGGTGTCCCTACTCGGGGGTCACTGGGCATCTTGGACCATGTACCATGTCCAACCCGGCTGTCCTGACAGTCAGGAAAGGGAGGCCCCGAGGTGTCACTTGGCCCCCATGACCCAGGCTGTTGCCCTGAGGCCCAGGCTTGCAGCCCCCCAAACATGGGGCTGCCAGATGCTGTGGTCCTCAGGCTAACGGTTTCCAGAGGCACCTCACTCCCTAGCTGGTGTTAGACTTCGGGAGGGGCGGGTCCCAGGCGGAGGGCCAGTCGGACAGGGTGTCTGCCTCGGGCTGGCAGGGGCTGGGAGATGAGATTGCCGCCACTGCCTCATGTCCCCTCTGGTTCCCCAGATGGCATCCTGTCCTTCCTGAGGACCCGCAAGCCGGGCGACGCGCTGTGTGTGCTGGGCCTCACGCTGTCCGACCTGTACCCCCGCGAGGCCTGGCGCTTCACCTTCGGCACCTTCCTCCCCGGGCAGGGTGAGCCGGGCCGCCCCGGTGCAGTGAGGGTGTGGAGCCCTGATGGCCACCCTGGGGGACAGCGTGCACGTCCGCGTGTTGGACTCGCAGCCCCTGTCCCCGCCCCTCACGCTGGGGCTCTGCCCCTTGGCCCCTGTATGGGGACACCCTGGCAGGGTGGGGCCTGCAGGACACCTTCCTGCGGCCGAGGCTGCCCCTGGAGCTCCTTCTGTCCATCTCTTCCCAGAAGTGGGCGTCTGCAGCTTTGCCCGGTTCTCCGGGGAGCTCCCGCAGGGGTGGCCCGGAGCCCGGGATCCAGCCCCGGCACAGATGGCAGCAGAAGACCCGGAGACTGCCCTGCAGGACAGAGGCCGCGCCCTGCGCTTCAGCGCCCTGGGGATGGTCCAGTGCTGCAAGGTGGGTGGGAGCCGAGGCAAC